CTTAACCACTGAACCATTAGCCCTTGGGTTAGTACTTATTAATGCATCGCACTCTGTTTTTTGTGTACTTTTCACATATCCTAATACTATTGCTCTCCAAAGAAACAGAACCAATAAGATGTGTTCTTATACCTGTATGAGATTCATCATAAGAAATTGCTTCACTCTAGTATGGGTAGGATTTAGGAGGCCTGGAGGTCTTTGTGCTCACAGATAAGCACATGGCATGGTGGGGTGGGATAGGGGAGAATGGACCAGGACTGTTAAGAGCACAAGGTTGTTCTTTTGAGGGAAGGAATAAAATACCAGAAGGCTGGGAGCAGATTACTTTCTAGCCTGGTGACCTTTGCACTATCTATGTGGCTGGAGACAACCCTGAACCCTACCCAAAACCTTAAGCTTGTTTTCCTCAGTCAATCTATAGAACCTATCTTTATAGACGGCATCACATGTACTTTACAAAGAGTTTCAATGTTGTTGAATCCAGTATTTACTTATTTTACTTTGTGCTTTATTGTGTACATGGGGTTGAGTTAACTATCACCAGGGAAGTGTTGAACCAAACTGACACCTTCAGGGGCCAGCAGAGAGATGATCTGCAGAAGGCAAGAAGGTTTGGTTCAACATGGCTCAGTAACTGGTATTGGTTCAAACTTTGAGAGTTTGACCCCAAGTGGTTGTTTTTTTCCTTTTTATACCTCAAAGATTTTGCTCATTTACATTATTTCCAATAAAGGTAATTTCATCTTTGTCTTTTTTCACTGTAAAAAAATTAACTCATAAGTGACCAGAGACCTAAATATAAAAGTTAAAAGCATAAAACTCTTAGATGGAAACACAGGTGTAAATTCATAGTTTTGTGTCAAACCATGGCCTCTTAAATGTAGCACCAAAATCACAAACAAAAGAAAATGAGTAATTAGACTTCATCAAAATGGAAAGCTTTGCCGGGCATTGGTAGCACACGCCTTTAATCCCAGCACTTGGGAGGCAGAGGCAGGCAGACCTCTCTGAGTTCGAGGCCAGCCTGGTCTCCAGAGCGAGTGCCTGTCTCGAAAAAACAAACAAAAAAATGTATATCAAAGAACACTGCCAAATCCTTTCCAAGACCGACCCAGGAACTAGAGCTCTCACCCAGTGGCTGATGGAAGCAGAGACAGACATCCACAGATATACACTGAGCTGAAATCGGGAATTTAGTTGAAGAGAGGGAGGAATGAAGAACGAAGGGGTCTGTACCAGGTTGGAGAAACCCACAGGAACAGTTGGCCTGAACAAGGGAGAGCACATCGACCCCAGATGCTGTCAGGGAGGCCAGTACAAGACTGATCCAGACCCCTGAACATGGATGTCAATAAGGAGGCCTCTGCACTCCAGGGAGTCTCTGGTGGTGGATTAGTATTTTTCCGTGGTGCAAGAAGGGACTTTGAGAGCCCATCCCACGTGAAGGGTTACACTCTGGCCCTGGACACATGGGGAAGGGCCCAGGACCAACACAGGAAGATTTGGTAAAAAAGGGAAAAAAACAAACAAAAAAAGAATATCCCTAATATATGTGCCCATCTCGTCTTTTCATTATTCGATTTCAGACCCAGACAAATTATTAACAAGATGACTCATCACAAGTGGTGATTGTCTTGACAAATTTCAAATTTTGCCTTTCCAATGTTGGCGCCTTAATGAAAACTTTCTCTGAAGGTATCTTGCTTAATAGGAGAGAGTCATAAAACAAACCTGTTCAGCAAAAATTTCACAGTTTTATTGGGGAGAGGAGGACATGAGGGAGCAGGAAGATCTAGTCAGGGGAAGAATAGAGGAGAACAAGAAAGGAGCTACCATAATAGAGGTGGCCATTATATGTTTAAAGAGAATTCTGGCACTAGGGAAATGTCCAGAGATCTACAAGGTTGACCCTAACTAACAGTCTGAGCAATAGTCGAGAGACTACCTTAAATGCCCTTCTCCGATAATAACATTGATGACTACCTTATATGCCATCCAAAAGAGCCTTCATCTAGTAGCTGATGGAAGCAGACCAGACACCCACAACTAAATGCTGAGTTGAACTCTGGAATCAAGTTGCAGAGAGGAGGAGTGATGAGCAAAGGGGTCAATACCAGGCTGGAGAAATCCACAGAAACATTGATGACTACCTTATATGCCATCCAAAAGAGCCTTCATCTAGTAGCTGATGGAAGCAGACCAGACACCCACAACTAAATGCTGAGTTGAACTCTGGAATCAAGTTGCAGAGAGGAGGAGTGATGAGCAAAGGGGTCAATACCAGGCTGGAGAAATCCACAGAAACAGCTGACCTGAACAAGGGGTTGCTCATGGACCCCAGACTGATATCTGGAAAATGAACATAGGACTGTTCCAGACCCCCATAACAAAGAGGTCAGTTTGGATGTCTGGACAATCTATGAGGCCACTGGTAGTGGATCAATATTTACCCCTAGTATGCAAATGGACTTTGGGAGCCCTCTGCACATAGAAGGATACTTTCTCAGCCTAGACACACTGGGAAGGGTCTAGGCCCTGCTCCAAATGATATGACAGACTTTTACAATCCCTCATGGAAGGCCTCCCTCTCCCTGGGGAGCAGAAAGGGTTTGGGACAGGGGGTCAGTTCGGGGCAGGAGAAGAGGGGAGGGAGAGGAAACTGAGATTGACATGTAAAAGAATCTTGTTTCTAATTTAAATAAAAAATTAAATGATGAAAACAGAATATAAAATACTAAAAAAAAAAATTAAAAAAAGAACACTGCCAACTCCCTGCTGGCTAGCTTTCCTAGTCATGTATGAATCCTGTGAGTTACAACAATCAGCCTCACAAGACATACACCCATGGGTGCAACAGTGGTATAGATGTTATGGGAGTAACAACCTGATTTCTGATTGGATTGAGGATACACTCCAAAGGTGGAAACTAATGCCTGGAACTATAAATCAGGATAAGAAACCATTCTGCAGAACTCATAGGTCCTAAAGAAAAGTCTATTACTATCAGTTTGCTAAATTGAGATAGTATCAAACTGTCTTCTAAATAATTCTCTATACCCATAGATTAGGTCAGCTCTTGATTCCCACCACAGAAAAATGTCTTTTTGCAGTAGACAGTGTCTGATATACAGACTCACATTTCGTCTAAATGCAGGGGACAAGTGTCTGTGAAGTACTCAGCACCAAATGAGACATCAATATCACACCCTTGCCCCCAAAGCTCAGATAACACCAGAGCTCTAGGAAGTAAGGTTTAAAGAGCCAGCTCTAGGAAGTCTGCTATGAAACAATGTCTTAACACGGCAGGATGTTGCACTTATGAGCTCACAGAAGCAGTGGTTGTCTGCACAGGCTCACAGCACTCATCATTCCAGCACGAATGGATGATGGGCTAGCCACAGCTGAGGAACTGTTAGCAGTTGATATATGCTGGTAGAGGAAGAGTCTGTTCTTCAGGGATGTGGTATCCAGCAGGCTGACCATGTTCTGGTAGACGGCTTCAGATCTACAAATATTTGAGTAGCACTAATTTTGTACTCGGTGGGTTATAGAGAAAGAAGAGGACATGAAATCTGGATGGGAGCCTGACAGGGGATCCAGGAGGAGTTAGATAAGGATATGAGGGTAGACATGATCACAATACACTGTATACATGTGTGAAAGTATCAAAGAATAAATAATTTTAAAATAATACCACTCAGAAAAAAATGAAAGGCAACCCATGGAATGGACATGATCATGGTATAAGGAGTTCTTACAATGCAAAACAAGAACAAAAAAAATATGATTCTAATTGGCAAAGGACTTGGTCTTTTCTACAAAGATATACAAGTGGCCAATAGGCATGTTATGATTCCATCTCTATAAAATCCCAGACTAGGATACTCCATTAGAACAGAAAGTAGGCCTAAGGTTGCTTATGTCTAGTGGAAACACAGGAGAGAAACGAAGTTAGAAGTAATAGACAATGGTGCAGGGGTTTTTGTTTGGTTTTCTGGGGTTTTATTATTTTATTTATTAGTGTGTGTGTGAGAGAGAGGGGGGAGAGAGAGAGAGTATGGCATTTACGTAGATGTGGAGGTCAGAGGACATCTTATGGGGTTTGGTTTTCTCCCTTCTCCATATGGGTTCTGGAGATCAACCTCAGATCATGAGGCTTGGTGGCAAATGCCATCTCACCAGCCACCTCACTGGATGTACGGAGGAAGATCCAGTCACAGGCAGAGCTCTCTACAGGCAAGCCAGGTAACTTCATAGCCCTGTAAAGTAGACATCAGGCAGAAGCTGAGGACTTCACCGAGCGAGAGGGCAGGCAGGACATGCACTAGTGTGCTCATCATAGTCTACTAGAAGGAATTGTGTAACTGATGGGGATAGGTGTTGGGAAACGTTTGTGGGGTAGTGATCAAAACACACCTGAGTCAGCCAGGTGTGCTGGGCTTTTAGTCCCAACATTTGGAAGGCAATGGCAGGTGGATCTCTAAGTTCAAAGCCAGCCTGATCTACACAGCAAGTTCAGGGCCAGCCAGGGCCACCTATATGAATGCCATATCCACAATGAGGAACTGTGAGCCAAAGTAAACACTTACTCCCTTTAAAAGAGTACATCTGGGGGCTGGAAAGATGGCTTGGTGGTTAAGAATGCGTATTATTCTTTCAAAGAACCCAAGTTTGCTTCCCAACACCCACATTGGTAACCTCACAACTGCCTCTAACTCCAGATCTAAGGGATCTATCGCCCTCTTCTGGCCTCCACAGGCACCTGCACACACACACACACACACACACACACACACACACACACACACACACACACACACACACTTTCAAATTAATTTTTTTTTTAGAATGCATCTGTTTTGAGACTGGTTGTCCATTTTGTAAAATGGGGAGCTGTACACCACAGAGGACGGGGGATCTACCCTGGGTGGAGATCGCCAACACAGACACATCAGAGGCAGGGACAAATGACTGTCAGTAGGGTCCTCACTTGCTTCTCAAAACGGCTCTTTAGTCTCCACCACTGACAAATTGTCAGCTGCGTCCTTGTGCCTTACGGAGCTCTTTGAGGTTGGCAGATTCTTTAAAAAGGGAAATTTGTGCTTGTACATCCTCCAAAACCTCCCTAAACCCAAAAGCACAAGCTCCAAGGCAGTAAACAAGAGACAGGCCCCGCTGATCCCAAACATGGCATTCAGGAGGACGGTCTTCTCAGAGGGGTGCGACTGGAAACAGGTTATGCTGCCGATGCAAGGATCCTCACGACACAGAAAAGTGCTGGGCATCTTGAAGCCATACAGGTGGTACTGAACGCCAAGGGCTGCTCCCTCAAGGACCAGCCGCGCCCCGAGCTGTACCACATATGCCCAGAGAAGCTTGAGGCTTCCAGCCCCTGAGACATCCTTGCTGTGGTCCGGCTTGCACATCTGGGACTCTTGTTTCTTGTTCTCCTTCCCTGGTTCCTCCCAGTATCCAATCACATGATACAGAGTGAAACCCACATAAAGAGCACTGGGTATAGCCATCAGGATGACTTGAAAGGCCCAGAAGCGCAGTGGAGAAAGGGGGCGGAAGACATTATAACATACGGTCTTGCAGCCTGGCTCTCCTAAATGACACATGAATTCCTTCTCATCATCCCAGAAGACCCCAGGTCCGCTGGAAACCAGAAGCAGGAAGCGGAATCCCATGAGCACCGGAAGTAGGAAGCGCCCCACGGGCGTGGAGTGCTGGCTCTCCGTAGCCAACAGCTGCCTCAGGAACTTGCCACACATTCTGTCCCTAAGCAGAGGACAATTATCAGTGAAGGTGTCCTGATGGGGGAAGTCTTTCTATGTATATGTTTGTCTTACTGGTTGAATCCCCTGAGCAAATTGAGAACATGGGAAGAGGCGGGAGGAAGCTGCGAGAGTAAGAAGGGAAGAAAAGGAAGGATGCAGAGGTCATGAGGAAGCAGAAATTTTGAGTCAGGTGTAGATTAGAAGAAAAGACATATGATAGGTAGGATTTTAGTTGGGGCAGGTGGTAGAGAAGGAAGGGAGAGAGAAGGGAACTGGGATCATCATGTAATTCAATCTTGTTTGTAATTCAAATATGTAAAAATAAAAAACTAAAAAAAGTCCTTTCTATGTGTATGCTTGTCTTAGTGGTTGATAAATAAAATACTGTTGGCCAATAGGGGAGCAAGTTAGGCAGAACTAGGAGAGAAGGAGGATTCTGGGAAATGTAGCTAGACAGGGGTCACCATGTGATTGCTAAGAAGAGAGGATGCATGCCACCAATGTCCTCGATAAGAGAAGTCTTTATAAAATATATAAATTAATGGTTATGGTTGGTAATTTAGATTGAGCTAGCAAGTGGGAGGTCCTAGTCATTGGCCAGCAGCATTGTAAATAATAAAAGACTCTGTGTGTTATTTTGGGGCCCTAACGTGGTGGCAGAACTCAGGTGGCTGGCAGAAAGAGTTATTGTTACAGTGTCCCACTCATTGCCCTTTAGAGGGGCTTCAGCCTGTCTAGGTCACCTGTTAACCCAAGAACCTGCAAGGCAAGCCCTTTTACTCCTCTCCAAAGTTGATCAAATACCATGTAGCCTGCTTTGCATGCCTACAAGGCAACACCTGAGGTAATCACCTTTATAAACATAAGTAGCCCACAGTTGTGAAGGTTTTAACTCCAAATAGTATAGCACATAGTGAAGGCTACTCATTGAAAGAACATGTCAGGTCTTGGATAGCATTGAGGAGGAGAGCATGTTGAGCAAAAAGATTCAACCCAAGGAAAGAGGAAGATGGATAGAATCCCATGATCCCTTTGAAGAGTACATTTTTCATGGATTGGGGGAATGGGGTTGGCTCAATCAGTAAAGTACCACACAAGCATGAAAACCTAAGCTCAGTCCTCAGAATCCATGTAAAAATGTGGAGTGTGTGCCAGAGAAACTAGTAAACAAAGAGGACCCTAAAAGAGACAAACATTGTTGGGGGAAATGGTCATGATCCCCTGAGCAAATTGAGAGCATGGGAAGAGGGGGGAAGGAGCTACGAGAATGAGAAGGGAAGAAGAGGAAGGATGCAGAGGTCATGAGGGAGCAGAAAGGTTGAGTCAGGTGAAGAATAGAAGAAAGGGTATGTGATAGGGTTTTAGTTGGGGGATGGTAAAGGATGACAGGAGGGAGAAGGGAACTGGGATTGTCGTGTAATTCAATATTGTTTGTAATTCAAATAAAAAAGATTTAAAAAATGTGGAGTGTGGTAGTGTGTACTTGAAACCCCACTGCTGGGGACACAGGGACAGGAGGATCCTAGCCAACTGGAGAGCCTCCAACCTGCAAGAGATCCTGTCTCAAAAACCAAGATAGATGACTCCCAGAGAATGACACATGTCATTGGGCTCCAGTACACACACACACACACACACACACACACACACACACACACACAAGTGCACACACAAGAAACATGTCTCCAATGATTTAAAGACCTCCCTGTAGGCTCCTTATACTTATTTTATGCATATGTGGATGTGTTCTCTCTGTGTGTATGTATGCCAGGTGTGTGTGCATGCCTGTCCATGAAGATCAGAGAGGGAGAGGAAAAGAGAGAGAAGGGGGAAGGGAGAGGGGGGGGACTGGTGCCTGCCACAGCATGAAGACAGAGGTAGACAACCCCTGGTGTCAGTCCTCAGCTCCCTCCTTGTGTCTCCTTTTTGTCACTGTGAATGCCAGGCTACCTAGCCAATGAGATTCCAGGGATTCTCCGGTCTCCTCCTACCCACCACAGTACTGCTGGGGTTACAGACATGCACTATCATGCCCCAGCTTTTTTGTGAGTTTGGGGGATTCTAACTCGGGTCCTTGGGCTTTCATAGCAAGCCCTTAACTCACAAACCCATCTTCTCAGGCAAGAATCTGAAATGTTTTGGCTAATAACACAATAGCACAAGTAGGAAATTCTCTCCTGACATCCTGTGTCCCCCTGTCATCAACAGCTAGTTCACTGAAACAGTAGGAAAACGGATGGACCAGTAAATCACCTATTAAACGAAGTAGCCAAGGCCCAGAAATACATACACTGTATATAGCCTCTCATAGGCAGGTCCCAGATTTAAATTTTTGTGTATTTATACATATGTGTGGATATATGAACCTAGAAAGGGGGCTATGCATAGAAACCAGAAACAGAACTGGAGGGGAAGAGGTCTTAAGAGAGTGAGGAAGGAAGGGGCAACAGAATAGGTCTGACACATGGAAACAGAATGGGGACCCCTGAGGGGACAAACGGACTAACCTAGCAGAGAGGAAAAGGAGGGAATGAGAGGAGAAACAGCAATAACTCAAAGTATGCATGAAAATGCCTTAATGAGGCACATTGTTTTATATGCTAATTTTCAAAACACGAATAGGGCTGAGGATGTAGATTGGTTACCTCGAATGCAAAAGTCCCTGGGTTCTATCCACAGCACAGTATAAACCAGGAGTGCTGGTGCACACCTATAATTCTAGACTACAACTGGGGAGATGGTGGCAGGAAGATCAGAAGCTCAAGATAGCTCTCAGTTAAATAATGAGTTTAGGGCTATTCTGGGCTGTATAAGACTGTGTCTCAATAAATAAACAAATAAATAAAATGTAAATGAAGCAACAATCACAGACTCAAAATGGGAAAGGAAAGAAAATCCCAGAATTCGAGCAGATTTTCAAGTACCTAAAGAGATTATTTTTAAAACCCAATTTTAAATGAGAATTTTTCAAAGCATCTCACCTACTTTTGGGGGTTGAAGGGTGTCAGGATTCCACCAGTGACTGAATCAATCCATGAAAGTTAAGGAGCAAGAGAGGAAAAGAACCCATGAGGAGGGAGGAACCTGGCAGTGCAAGCTTTAACTGATTGCTCCCACCTTACTCTACCTGGCCTGTAATGCAATCTAGATGATTCTCTTCAAAGTGTGACCAGCAGGAGCAGAGATGCAGATATCCCTGACTCCTAGATCCTATGTGAATTCAAAGCTATCTCTAAGAAATCATGAATGCATCCACTTATAGACACCTCTCCAGAGCCCAGAATATTCTCAAACACAGAAGCTACTCTGCCCATGAACTTACCAGCGCTTGCCCGGCAACTCCAAGCAGAAGCATCAACCACAAAGGAAAGAAGCCAAAAGGAATCCTCACACTGGAGTCTTAAGGGTCCAGGCTCTTGGGACAGCCCTGCCTCCTGCAGGCACCCACTCCTTCGCCTTCTCCTTTTCATTCCTGGCAGGCTCCCCGTGGCATAATAAAATTCCAATTGAAAGACCCGGCCCTCAAGGCATGAGCTGTGGAGAATAGTTCTGTGCTAATGGTACGGAATGCATTCTCTAAGTGAATGGGGATGGGAATATTTGAGATCATCTGAAAGGAGACTGCAGGTTTATTATGTACATTATATTGGTTAATTGTCTTGGGATGTCTGAGCTCACTGAGAAGCTGGCTCTGGAAATGGAGCTGTCCTCTCCCGTTTCAGACCCAAGTGTGTTTGTCTCCGTGTCCTCTAAGGCCCTTTGTCTAAGGATGGGCTGCCTTCCAGACTCTGTGACAGGGAGGGAAAGGAACAACAAACGCCCAAAGAGTAAAAGCATTGTGTCCTTGAAAACAGCTAGAAGGAAAACCGATTGATGGAAAATGCAGCAGAAGGTAACACTGTGTATCCCATAATACAAAACTACCTAGATTGGGAGGAGAGCTGGAATTTCAGACATGGGGCGCAAAGCCAGTGGAGACAAAGCTAAATGGGGAACTCCAGCTGACTGCTTTGACTTCACCAGTCAGTTCCTGCTGGATCTTGTGAGCACCCAATCTGTTGATGCTACATCTATTATTTGTTCTTTTTTTCTTTTTCTTTTTCTTTGTTTTGTTTTGTTTTTGCTTATTTGAGGTTGTATTTTAATTGCAACATTTCTCCTTCTCTTCTCCCTCCAAACCCTCCCATATACCCCTCCCTATCCCCTTCAAATTTATGGCCTTTTTTTCATCAACAGTTATTGCATGCATGTATGTTTTTGTGTATACATATAACCTGTTGAGTCCATATGATGTTACTAGTATGTATGAGTTTTAGGTCTGACCATTTGGCATTAAACAGCCAATGGGAGTGCTCTTCCCTGGGAGTGAGCCCCTCTCCCAGCTTTACCCAGCTGCTTCTACTTCTTTGTGTTGGGTTGTTCTTTTACTTAGATGCTTCACCAGAAGGGACACCTTGCTCTGCTCAGGAATCTCTCTGTGGGAAACCCCAGCTGACCGACTCTTCCCAGTCATTTCCTGGTGGATGTTTGTAAGCCCCAATTTGATGATGTTCATCTCTGTTGACCTATCACTTTCTATTTATTCTTTTACTTTGGCTTTCCATGTACTTAACAAATTCATTCATTCAAAACTGAAAGTATGTCCAAAGTACCAAAAAATAAGTTTACTTGCATGAGTGCGCTTGTGTGTTAGAAGGATTACACACCAGGTAATGCAATCCCTGTCAAAAATCTATACATGGGGAAACCTACTAGTGATGTAGGGGTGTGTGTGTGTGTGTGTGTGTGTGTGTGTGTGTGTGTGAGAGAGAGAGAGAGAGAGAGAGAGAGAGAGAGAGAGAGAGGTGCTTCATGTCCTCACTCCAGAATTCATGGTGATTTCTCAATGTCTTCTTGGCTGGGAGAAATAGATGACTCTTATAGCACCATGGGAATCTACTCCATGTCCTTTCAGCAACTCAGAAATCCCCAGTGAGAGCTTAAGACACCTGCAC